CCGAGCATGCATGGATGCTTGGAAATGCGTGAACTGAAGCTGTCCCTTCCGTCCACTCATTTCCGTTACGTCGACCATGTTGCATTCATCGATCATATTGCTTAAAATGTTCGCGCTGTTGTCATTGGTATCTCTACGCACCGACCTATCTGTAACGTTGTATACACAATTTAAATCTCCAAGAAATACAACAATGCGGTCACATTCCAAGTACTGACGGAGATAGTTAAAGCAAACCTCTCTTTCTCTTGTCCTATTTGGAGCATAAATACAGATAACTCGCCAGGACAGATCTGACATAGTGAAATCACATACAATGAAACGACCTTGGTCATGAGAAATTACCGACAAATTAGTAAGCTTTAAGGATTTTTTTAGGAAGAGGAAGCATCCTGCTGACGTACCTACGGCATGACTGACACACACTTCGTTTCTCAAAAGAAATGGTTGTAAGGCTCGTTCAACTTGCTCATCTTCAGACATTATGGTTTCTTGAATTGCTAAAATATCTAGTTGTTCTTGAGCTAGCAACCGTTGCAACTGCTACTGTTTACGGCTAGAATTCAGTCCCCTAACATTTAGAGATGCAAAACAACAAGGTTCTTGCATTTCGCACATGCCTTAAAGTTATGGATACTATGTATGCGAGCTACCCGTAGAGGTTATTTTCCTTTCGTTTCCGAATTACTTGCCTTATGACCATGCTTTTGTAAGTTCGAATTGTCTGTCGTCGGGTTTCCTTCGTAGGCGTACCAGGCTTCCGTCACTGTTAGCTACTGTGAATTCTGTTGGTTGCGGTGCTTTGCATTGTAGCGTCCTTTCTTGGTGGTAACAAAATTCCACTTGGCCTCCTCTTCAAGATCTTTGTCTTCGGTCTCCAGGCTTTTTACGTTTTCAAGGGGTCTCTTGTTTGCCTGACTTGCGTCAGGCCTTTCTTCAACGATTTCTGGTGATTCTTCTTTTGTTTGTTGGTCTTCAAGGTCGCATTTTTCCTCAGTTTCAGATGCCCTTGGATCTGGAATACTCTTCACTTCAGCTGCCAGAGGCAGATTCTGTAGAGCAACGGTTTTCTCTTGACCAGCCACCACTTCTTTTTCTTTGGCGGGACATGCATTCCCACCTGTACATGGAGTGATGAGAGCTACAGGGGCAGTACTGGCTGCCGTACTCTCTGCCTCGTCAGCATCCATTAAGAGTTCATGCACCGGGTCGATTTCTTGGCGTCCAACGGCAGTGGCGTATGTCTTCATACAATCGTCTGACTCATGACCGAAGCGGTGACACTCCGAGCACAGCGGTACACGACAGTCACGACGTATATGTCCCGTGTGCTTGCATCGCGAGCACAAAGGCGCGCGCCCGGGAACCACAATCAAGGAGTTCGCTCCAAACAGCCGTAACTGGTGTGGTATACCGTCAATAGTCGTTCCCTCTTTGAGGTTGATCCGCATAAGTCTTGTCGCTGACTCAATGCCTTCAAAACCTTCCGCTTTCCAGGTTTCTCGTGCGACTTCTGTGACTTTGCCGTAATGTTCCATAGCCTTGCGTACCGCATCATTCGAGACGTGGAAAGGGATCCAGTGTATCTTGAGTCTGACCTCTGCGTTGCTCGGGTCAATGACAAGACAACGTCTGCCCTTGACCGTGAGCTCTTTGGCCGAGACTAACCTGTACGTGGCCGCTGATGACCGAGGGGTGACGATCCAGACGTGGTTCATCTGGTACGCTCCTATCGAAGCCACTTCCTTCAGGACGTTCAGGCGTTCCAGCTCTTGCTTGAAATCTTCAATACTGTACGGGCGGTTCTTGCTATCGCAGTGAAGAATGACGGTGTTCAGAGCAAGCGCTCCGCGCGGCAGTGATGGCAATACAACCTGGTACTCATCAGTGGGTGCAGAAACAGAAAATCCATGGCCTGCAAGGGCCGTTGTAGACACTCCTTCGGAGCTCATATTTGGTACGTCTTGCGTGACCAACTTCTTCTTCTCCTCCCCTATGCTATGCCATCGGTTAGGAAACTCGATTTGACCATTCGTTTTATACGAGATGCTTCGGCTGCAAATGCAGTTAAGCATTCAGCATGTTATGCAAAGCAGTCGCACATCACTCGCCGTACTTCAGTTCTACTCACCTGCCATGTAGAGTACTTTCGCGCCGTAGAACGATCCTTTTGTTCGCGCGTCTCCGGCCGAGTAGACCTGGTACATCTTGTCGTCTTCAACTACGCCGCTAAAATCCCTTACATCGTCGGAACTCGCAACAGGCTGGGTCTTGTTGAGTAGAAATTCTACTAAAACATAAGACATCGTAGAGCCCGGGCAGGATCGACAGGTTGGAGTAAACAGGCAGACAAAACGAGTTGAGAGCGATCGTTCATGAAAGCTCGGCGAAGCCTCTATGGGCGAAGCGAAGTCAGCGAATTGGCGTGTTCGGCGGGCTTCTGATCAAGGTTGTCGGTCGGCTGCGTGTCATATCTCTAACATCAGCGGTTTTATGGGCTCACGTCCCGAAATCGTTTTCTTGTGCATAGATTATTTTTCGTATCTATAGATTTGACAAAATAGTGGCATCCGAACGAACTTTACGTCCTTTCACCGTACGTCTGTCTGCACGTCGAAGCTTTCTGACGTACAGTCAGAGCCAATCGATGCACAATCAGAATCGCCATCAAGACATCTTGATGGCATTTCGCGGTGGCCGACTGCCACCAGGAAACCATCAGAAAGCCAACAAGTGGAGTCTTACTGGAGGTTGACTCTCGGTCAGAGTAACTTGTTGGCCAATCAGACATGCTTGCCGTACAGTCAGGCACAGTCAGCGGTCCAGTAGAAAACATTGACTGCGAAACAGGGTTACATTAATGGATTTTTCCTTCAGGAGTTCACGATGCACCAATTGAATTTATGGATACAAATGGAACAGCCACCGAGTGAGCTCTTTAGGCCCCGTCACACTAAGGCAACACGACGGCAAAAGCAACACAACATGTTGTCCAACACTCAAAACACTTGTGGCTCGCTCCACGTGTTTTCCGACAACCCTGCCACATCACGGCAACAACAGCACAGCATGAACGACAACGAAAATGTTGCCTCGTTATGACAACTTTCTTCAACAAAAACAGCAGCGACTTCTGTTGGACAGCGTGGATTGCTCTGATCGCTGTCTGAGCGAATTTCGTGCCGGCAACACGGCAACACAAATAGCTTCGATGGTAGAACTAGTATAAAGAGTTATTTTTTAAGAGCTTACTCAAATAAAAGCTTGGAAAACGTTATTTAAGAATACTTAAGGCTGGCGTGCAGTTAAAATAACTTGATGAATGCATTTACTGCGTAATTATAGAAAGCGATTGTTGAAATGGTCATAAGTACGATCGTGAACGTTGAGACTGCCTTAGAAATTAGAACTACCCTTAAACTACCTCACATTACTGCTAGTGAAACAAAAGAGCATGCCTACTCACCCGCTGATAAAGTATAGTAAACATAATCCAGAAAACCAACGATTTTTTTTTTAAACGAAGCATTTAAACAACCCCTCTGATCACGATTGTTGATACTTGAAACTTGGAAACAGCCACTACCCCGGACTTGAATTGATTAAAAAATTCCTACGACGTTTTGGGGAATGAAGCGATCGCATAGCAGGCGGTAGGCCAATGGACAGTGTTGAAAAATATTTATTCCAGCGATTGTTATGAAGCCCGATCGTGTTGGTGTCGCAATTTTTAAGCACCATCAATTCTGCTCAACGGAATGCTAAAAAAAGACGCTTTGGGGTATTGCCGGTGCTAACTGAAATCTACAGTTGAAATAAAAAGTGCATGAAAGAAACAACCGGACAGAAACAGTTAATACGGTGGCACAAATCCCGAACAAATATCAGCGATCTCACATTCCTCGGTTATGGCTGACTGCTTTGTCAAAAAATGAAGAATATTTTAATAAAATAACGGGTGGAAAATAATCTTCATGTCATGTTTTCTAATCACAGCCACCGTTTCATGTAGACCCGTTGTAATTTCTGGCCCTTCGAACGCAATAGCACTTTGTTGAGTCCTATTTCCGACGACGACGCGCCGCACACGAACGAAGGTAAAAAATTCAAAATGGCGGAGTGTTGCCCGTGTTCGCCCCGCAATCAGCGTGGGGTGACAGGATGGTCGGGTAACAAACCGGCCAACACGGTTTCCTGTGGACAACAACATGTTTCGCGACAATTGTTGTTGCCGCGATGTGACAGGGTCGTCGGAAACACGTTTTCCCTGTGTTGACGGACAGAGTTGTCCAACTGTTGCCTCAGTGTGGCAGGGCCTTTAGAGATGTCCGCAGTCATTGTCCAAACAATCATCACCAACTTTCCACCCAGACACATTCTTTGTGAAAAGGCTGCGACTGACTTTCCATCACATTGCGCAATGTGAAGAAAAGTGAGTCTCTCCGTAAAAGAGTCCCTGTCACATTTTGTTTTTTCACGATTGATCTTTCCAAAATTTTCGCCCCGGTCTTGGTTAATTCATCAAGATAGTCCAATCGGTGCATTGTGAATGAAGAGTATGCTCGGGAGAGAAGTTGTTGGTGTCCATCGGCGGTGCATAAGGAGCGAGAAAAAAACGATCTGGCTGCGTTCGAGACGTCTTATACTGTGCCTTTTTCTTCGACTTCAAACTTTCCTATTTTTCCCTCACCACGGACTCGCGTCTTAAACATCACGATTGTATTCCTGTAGCTTCTAGGGTACAAAAATATAGCTTGAATGACCTAAGAAGACTATATAAATATTTACCGCGTGGTTCGTGCGTCTATAAGTGCGAGGTATGCCCAGCTTTTAGTTAATGTCATAAGAGAAAATATAAATACAAACAACAATTCAAACTCTGTCTCGGCGTAGCTCAGTTCGCAGATACTAGAATTTAACGAGAGTGACCGATTTAATGACTCAGGAGATTGCTAGCATGTCAAAAATATTAAATAAAATCTACCAATTGAATTGCTTACCTCTTATGATGCGCTGGTTCTCTACTTGAGCTGGCTCATGTTTCATTGATCCCGAAGTTGAATAAAAAAAACTTTCTTCTTGCTGCGGTAAACTTTCTTGATGCACTTTACGCTCATTTCCTTTTCGAAATAATTGCCGTGCTGCATCATCACTGTTGAGCGCTGCTGATGTTATACACACTTGAGCGCAGAAACAGAATATGACTGGGACAACAAAGTGCATCTTTGGTTGCCTCTGAAGTGCCCCGTTCCCCGCTCCTTCAGACGTGGTTCGTGTATGTCAGAGAACTAGAAATGGCGCGTCCCATCTCTTTCCCGAGTGCTCGAGAATTATCGTTCGCTTCCAAAAGGTGCAACATTATCTTCTTCGATTGATAGTTCGATACGGGAGTTGCCACTACCTGGAACCTCTCATATCAGGAGAAACACGTGAAGCCTTGATATTGTGTCGACGTGCTTTACTGATTATTTTACCGTATTCTCACGCAGAAAGCGGAACTATTATGCCACCTGAGGCAATCTGTCCCAACACCGTATGGTATTAAGATTATAAAGTCCAGATTTGAATTCGTTTAAACTGGCACCTCAGATTCACGGGACGTAACCTATTGATTGCATGAAAAAGCAGCAACTTTTTCGCAACTGTCTGTTGAATTTTGTTAGAAACTACATAAGTTTTCCTCGGCCTTCGATTGTAAAAAACGCACGTACAATGCAAAAACTAACAGCAAAAACAGCTGAAGGCACTCTGAAAAAATATAATTTAAGACTTTTAACATATAAATTGAATATGGCGAAATTTTATATCCGAATTGGCTCTTTTTTAGAAGAAAAATTTAAAAACAAAAATCAAATGCACTTATTCGGAACAAAACTGACATCCCACAGCTCTATAACTTTAAGTGTCGAATAAAACGGCATTCTTTATTCCCCTAATTTACGTAAAATATATCCTCTTTCAAGTTATACATGATATGAGGATATCGAAAACGTCGTAAAATAAGGTTCCCTATTACGAGTCATCTTGCCACATTAAAATATAACTTTGCAGAGCTTATGTGAACTCCAATATAAATCAGAACGATAATTCATGAAACGGTTGAAATTCCAAAAAACTGCTACAAAAGGGGCCAATGAAAAAACGGTTAAAGTGCAGGCGAGCTGGTGTAAGTTATATATGATGATTGAAAACCTGAAACTTTGTTTTGAAAAACAGAAAATCGTGAAGTAGAAAGAAAAAGAGACAGACATTGTCTTGAGACGTTGTCTGTCGCTTTTTCTTTCTATTTCACAATTTTCTGTTTTTCAAAGCAGTCTCAGGGTTTCAATCATCATGTATAACAAAAACGGCGTTGGTAGATCTTCATAGTTCGGCAGGGTTCAACATTCTACTATAAAGTTTTATAGGCATATTCTACGACATCATTTTGAAAATATGTTAATTTGGTACAGTATAGGCTTAATTTGTAGGCATCATATTTAGCGAACAAAACAGTCCTGGGTAATTGCATGATAATACAGGTCATTTAACATTAGTTTAATATACATTTTATGCTAGACATTAGAGTTATGCTAGACAGATTTATTACGAATAAAATGCTCTAACATTCTAAAACTTTCTATTTGTTAAAAACTTAAAGTTAAAAGGAACATGCTAAAATATATCGAACTCTTAAAAGTCCTTTAAATTTTAAATTGAAGACTGATTTATTTGTTACTACCAAAGTAATTTATAAAATAATTGTAATTCCTAGTAATAATATATATTTTGATTCTCAAATACTTTGAGTGGTCTCAGTATGCTTTAAATAGCTGGAGGCTTTTCTTTTTAGATGTGTAGAATTGTTCATTTATGAAATAAACATGTTTATCTTAATTATCACATCACGCCTTAAATGACGCACGTGCTTTTAATTATAATTATTTTCTACTGGCAAGTGCACTCATGACACCTTGGAAATGAAGTGCTCAAAAATGTATCGTGTATAACTGCTGTGCCTAATAATTATTTTGATAGATTGTAAGGGTGTGCCTTCTGCAATACCATATTAGCAATGATACTTTCCGGTTAGTGATCTCAAGCAAGCATTACCGCTCTATCTACCAGACGAAAGCTCAGCCATTATTAATGTTAAAACGGCTGCTCATTTTCTTGTGGGGTCCTTCCCGCTTGATCAGCTGTCGCTGAGTTGATGCTGGTTTCGCCGAATACGGAGGCGTCCGGGGACAAAAAAAGCAAAAAAAAAAATCAATCTTCGTTGAATTCACTACGTCTGCAAGCTGAGCGATGAGTTTTCCAAACAAAAAAGCGCCGAAAAAATGCAGGGACACAGACGAAGGGAAACAGGACAAGGCGCATTGGCCTGTTTCCCTTCGTCTGTGCCCCTGTTTTTTTTCGGCGCTTTTTTGCTTGCAATGAACCAACTGGCCCATATCTCCACTTTACTGGAGTTTTCCAAAGTTTGAGGATAAGTACGCGAGGTAAATGAAGGTAAACGGTTTTTATTTTATTTAAGTTAATACTATTATTATAGTTTTGACTCGCCAGCAATGGTCTGCCGTCCAAGTTTGGAGAACAAACAAAAATAGACGAACTGCTTAAATTGCACTCTCTACACAATGTCCTCAATGATAGGAGTAACTCAGCTTTTTACCATTACACAGAACTCGAGGTGTTCGAAGCGACGTGCTCATCTGAGCTTTTTTGTATTGTTCACTATACTGTACAATGGTCTAATAAAGCAGATATTTAGGTGTCATAAAACCTCTCTTTCATTGACGCGTTGCTAGTGTATTAGCTTGGGTTGTTAAACACTCTGTTTTGTTGTTTACAAATTAACAAAAATGATTGCAAGTGGGCCGAAGCTGGATGGAATTTGTACTAAACATAGACTTCCATAAATTTATTTTTTATTTTCTACAGTGCAGAAAATTCAGCAACGTGGTGTTGTCTGCACGGGAGTGCTATGTCCTCGTAATAAGAATCAAGTGCTGAATTCTCGCTTCCCTTTAGCAATCACAGGTACCAGCAAGGGTCTAGATAGTATCTGCGGTTGAGTCTGCAGTTTTGATATGAAAATTCGAGTAGTTCAAATTTTAGTGAGCCGAAATGCAGTGACTTAATTTAATTCAGGAAAGTTGAACTGTAGACAGCTCACCAAACATCGCATTTAAGAAAAGAGCCGGAAGTTCGCATTAAACGAGGGTCTAACGCAAAATGAAAGGTAATATTTTACCTTCAGGTTTCTGGAACAGTGCCGACGTTTTTGAGGTCATATATCAGCTTATCTTTGAGCAGGTGAGGCGGCGGCATTCCGGATAAGAAAGCTGGGAATGGCTGTCGCTGTGATAAGGACGTCGGTGCTTGACTGAAATTCGGGGCATCGATATCAAGGTCTGTTTCGCAGAGAAATACCTTGTTGCAGAGGGAATCTTAGGGATAAATTTCTCGCGAGGGTTGTCGGTTGTTTCAAAGTCCCGCGCAATGTCATGTAACTGTAACGGCATGACCCTCTTAACCAATCAGGATTTTCGCGGCACGCCACCGACGCCGGCTTTTCTCGTCACGCCACCAACGTCGAATTTTCTGCAACACGAGCTTCTTAACGCTATCGCGTTAAAATAGGGCAGGCCGTTAAAAGCTTAAACAATGCTACCCCCCCCCCCCCTCCAAAAAAAAATGTTTCAAATATTGGAGCCAAATACCGCGTGCTCTGTAACCATGACTATAAAGCTCTGCCCCTTATGTTCACACATAAAACGCAGTGCTAATACATTTCTCCTTCAACCCCACAAAAGAGCAATAATCTCAATATTGATGCAGAACTTGGTATTAGAGAGGTGATGTAGCAGAGTTGAGATGTGTCAAATCCGTCGTCCGATATTACGTACCTAAGATGTCGCAAGTATGTTTCACAATGCTCCCGATTTCGGTGACTTAATCTCGTTGGAGATAAACATGCCCGATAGTGTGCGCAAATAACGTTGTCCAGGCGACTAGAATGCTTCGTACCACAAATCCGGTCTTTCATACGAGTAAGTTATTTCACTGGGGCAACAGACAGAATTCCACTCGGTGCAAGGCCGCTTCTATTAGCTGCTTGGAATTTTATGAAATCAGCGGAGCTGCGGCGATCTGCATTGCGGTAATAAACATTCTGAGGAGGATTATTCATACATTCAGCACTAAATACATTGTAAAATCCCAGATAAATACTGCGCTACGTTTAATTTAATGCTGCGCTGCGCTGTGCGTGTGACCTGTCTTGATGTTAAAAAAGCCAGAATGTTGCATTAAAAAACTGATCTAAAGTTACGGTACGGGTATTGAAGAGGCTAGTAGCCTTCAGTATAGTTTGGCTGTTACAAACACCAAAGTAAACGTCAGTAATTCATTCTAGACCAGTTAAGTGTTAAACTGACGCTCAGATCGAAATAAAATGTGAAATATAGGTTTCAACGAATATTAGTTTGATAAAGTGAACGTATTTAGGATACGTTCATTAAAAACAAACAAATATAGTATATATCAGTTCACAAGAATGAAAGAAATACAACATCTTAGTGATATTGATCACTGTGTTTTTACTAGCTTCCAGTGTTTGTGCCATCGTTTTTATATCTTATTTTATATTATAATTTGTCCCCAATTGAATATTTGTGCGCAAGAAAGTGATATTTTGGAGACACACAGTACCAAATATATGCCGTAGATATAATGTGTAAGGTTAGCGTGTTCTGCACCTTTTTTTAACAAGTTGCGATCGACACTTAGCATCACACCGGTGTACGGGCCTGTGTCACTATTGCGGAGCGCATGTTAAAGACCCCAGGCTAGCAGTTGTACTGATAAATTTCTCATCTACAGCTAAAACACCAGACACGGCCATTAAGGCTGTTTAAAGTTCAACAGTATATTCATACATAAAACACAATCGAACAACAACACAATCATACATACAACAGAACATAACACAATAGGTATTAAGATAGCAGACTGCGCGATTTTTTGTGTCCCCAAAAAAATCTTTTGTTTTGAAGTGTTTACAAGCAGTTTAACTTCACCCCTACCTCAATGCATACACCCTCGTCATTCTCTACCACGAGCAACAAAGTTGAATGTGGTTACGAGCTCAAACTTGACTTCGATGGCTTTCTTCCGTCTAGCTGTGTCAACCCTAACGCCGGATCTTCGAAACCGAGAATTACGAGGCCTAGGGGCCGACGCATGAATTATTTCGCGCACAATTGCCAAGCTGTTTTCCCGTCTTCTCACTTCCACGCTGGAGCCTCACAGGACAGCTGACTTGATACTAACGAGCGAACTGCGAAATGG